TAGGCATAAAAGCTTTTCCTGTTGCCATAGCAATGCAGTCGGCTGCATGGCATCAAATAAATGCATTTGACGTTAGATAGTGGTGACCTAGAAAAACCAACTCAATATGAGGACCCACGGGGCATCAAAACCAATAACTCATGGAAAAAAAATAAATAAATAAACATTTACACATACAACAACCACTGGGAAAAACAAACACATGTGAATACTTTTTTGAAAATACTTTGGCATATTAAAAAAGTATAATAAAATGATTATAGACATAGATGTGCAACAGTTCAAATAGTGTTTTAACTAAAAAGAGTTCAGATGCAAAATCCTCTGAAGTGCTGTTTGAAAATTTCTTCTAAAATGACGCTTTTCTTAACCTCCTACATTTACGTTCAGTTATTATTTTACTTTAAAGACATTGAAAAGAACCTATTATTTCCCATAAAAAATTACTGAACATATACAGCTCTGGTTTCCCCCACAGGTCCAAAAGACATCTGCTACATGTGAAATGGGTAAGCTAAATTGTCCGTGGTCTACCTGGGTTGCAGCTGGAAGGGCATCTGCTGCATAAAACATTTGCTGGATAAGTTGGTGGTTCATTCCTCTGCGGTGGCCCCTGATTAATAAAGGGACTGAGCCGAAAAGAAAATGAACGAATAAATGAACATACACAAAAGCCTGAGAAAAATGCTCATTTTAGAAAAAAATTTCAAACACCACTTGAAGCATCTGAAATTTTCATACATTCCACACATACTTTTGATAAACATTTAATGAAAATCAAGAGGTTCACATCTAATAACATTATAAAACTGACACATCTTTTAGAGCCGTTAAGACCATTTCCAACTACCCTTTCATCTAGTGAACCGTCTATTGTAGAGTTGTGTCAGATCATTATGCTGCTGGTCACTACTGTATTATTCAAATGGTGTGCAGATGTATTCTAAATATAGAGCTTGTCCTGAACTGCTCCAGAGGATCAGACACCCCCCTCAAAACACTGATTAAAATTCCAGAGCTCCTGTCGAGCTGCCTGGCCACTTTTCATGGGACACCAACCAAATGGACAACCTCAGGCAGCAAGTCAATCGTCAGTCAAACATTTTTGGTACTCTAATGCAACTCGAATTGTCCATCGCTTCACTTGCTAAGATCACTATGCATGTGATTCTCTCAACTTTAGAGTTGCACTTGGATTTAGAGGTTCCTTTTTGGAACTAAAGGGAAAAGGCTATACTGGTGCATCAGCAGACATTGCAGAAAGAGTCCCAGAGCTGCTGAATTTTTGGTAGAGCTCAGTCAATGAACAATTTATTAAAAGATCACAGCTAAAATGTTGCTTAACTAGTTGTCATTCAGTTAAAATATTTAAATCCTCACATCAATTAACCATGAAGAACAAAACCAATGGCGATCAGTCTTAAGACATGTTTTTCATTTTTTTTATACAAACCCCAGATAATGTGTTACAGCAGTAAAGGTGGATGAGGGATCTGAATAATGTAGGTTTGCAGAGAACAAAAGCACTGCAAAAAATCAATTTGGCTTTGGCACATTGTAATTGCATTAATCCTTAAAGCTCATCTCATTGGAGTTAAGCCTTCTGCACTGATCTCATGTGTCGACTGGCTCTGGTGCACAGTCCCATTGTTCGACACGCATACGTTAGCATAATATTAGGCCTTGATCCTCCTGTGTGTCTTTGGGCAAGTTGGATTCTCCCAGGTTTCATTAGGCAGAGAAAGCATGCCTGATGCCCAAAACTTCACAGAATACAATGTGATCTCCAGCTGTGAGTATCCGCAGGACTGAAAGAGAGTTGCTTCAAAGAACAACTTTCAGTGCGCTGCATGGCCTTACACACCTTAGCCTAAATCAGATGTATTAATAATTTAAAAAAAGGAAAAACCATGATATGAATAATAGCTATTAAATTGTGCTATGTTTAAAATTATTGATTCATCTATAAAAGAGTTGACTCAGAGTGGTTCAAATGACACTTTTGATGTGTTTGATGCTTTGTCAGTGCTTGACAGGAATTTCCAGCCTGATCTCACCAGGAAACGTAAGTATTTTACGTTTTGTCAGTTTAGTGGCAAATTCGTACTAATTCGAACTCGTACGAAAATGTACGATTTTAAAATAGAGGCGTAGCACCCAACTCCACCCCTAACCCCAACCGTCATTGGGTGATGAGCAAATTGAACTAAATTGTATTAATTAGATCGTACGAATTCGTACGAACTAGCCACTAAATCAAAAAGTTACACAAGGCATTTCACAAGTGTAAGTAACTTAAGTGTGATTAAAAAGGTTGCCTCCTTCTTTTCTCTAGCTTGCAAATTATGTATTTAATTGAGTTTTGATACTTTTAACTGCTTGTATTGTATCTGGTTAACTCTTTATATTCTCATATCACGTCTAAAACCACATTGAAAATGCAATGTGTGCCGCTTTGTTTACGGATTTAAAATCATTTGTGTGAATCAATGTACTGTCGTTTGTCGTTGCTATGGCCACCGTCAGCTGTGGGCTGACATCATGTGTGCAGCGGTCAAGTTTCAAAATAGTTCAGCTTTTGCCGCTGTGTGGATTAATATTAAATGCGTGTCATTGTTATTACATATGGTTAAGAAAAGAGCAATATGCTGGTGTTTAACTGCATTGCTTTAATGCACTCCCGCATTAGGCTCACACATACACTCTGCACTCTGACTACTTCGATACTGTTGATAAGCCGTGGTGGGCATTTTTATGTGGGCATTTCTTTCATTTCACGATAAACGCAGTCGACCCATCACAACAGAATGGGTCATTCACACACTAAGGAGGGGTTTGGGAACAAATGAATCGCTGAACAAATAGGAGTCGTTTGTATAATTAGGTTCAAATAAGTGAATATTTTAAGAAAATGAAAGTGTTTTGATGACCTTACATGCATATCAGATTGTTGTTGGACCTTTTTTAATGCATAATACGGGCTCTTTAAAAAGCAGTGTTTATAATATGACTCATATTGAGCATGAATTCACCTCTGGATCTTTATTTGCATCCAATACTGCTTCAGGCCATCATTGTCACAAACAAATGAAAGATCATCATAACATATCATGGGGCAAGGAAGTGGCGACATGACAAACCGTTATGACAAATTGATTATTTGTGATGAATGAATGTAATGAAAGTCTGTTTCCCCATGCACTTGGCACCACAAGTAACTGAATAAGTCATTTGCTTCTTGGCAAGCTTTGCATTCCTCATCCCAATTCTGTACTGGCTTAGTGTATAGTTAAGCTGTCAAGAATTGCCAGTAATAAATGAAAAATTTCATCATTATATGGAATATCAGCACTGGCTGACTATGAATAAAGATAAACTAGTAACCTGTCAAGAGCAGAACAGACTAATGCGTCAGAGGTCTAATTTAAACCTGATATTAAGATGTTGTTTTGGTCAGTGTAATCATGTGAATGATGTTAAATACAGATGTAAGAAAGAAATGAAAACTTCTTAGCTTGTCCACTTTTAGCCACTTTCTACTGTAGGTCATCAAACATTTATTAAAGGTGCAGTATAAAGGATTGAGGGTGTCACGGTGGCTCAGTGGTTAGCACTGTCACCTCACAGCAAGAAGGTCACTGGTTCAAGTCTCGGTTAAGCCAGTTGACATAGCTATGGGAGATTTTGCATGCTCTCCCAGGGTTTGCATGGGGTTTTCCTCCAAGTGCTCTGATTTCGCCCACAAGTCCAAAGACATGCGCAATATGTGAATTGGGTAAGCCAATTTGTCAATAGTGTATGTGTGTGAATGTGAATGTGTATGGGTGTTTCCCAGGACTTGGATGCAGCTGGAAGGGCATCCTCTGTATAAAACATATGCTGGACAAGTCGGCAGATCATTCTGCGGTAGCAAACCCTGAGAAATAAAGGGTCTAAGCCAAAGGGAAATGAAATGGAATGAAATATAAAGAATAGACAGATTACCTAGTGGTTGAAATAGGTATTGCAGAACATTTTTAAATTATTGGAGGGATATTTTTTTTCACTCAGACCCACCTCAGATGACTCGTTTTGCCAAATTGATGACACCAACAGGAGTGAGTGTACCTTACAATTGATCCCTACACTGTAAGCTCCTTAGCCAATATTGACAGTTGTAATATTTGCTAATTGAATGAACCACCTCATGTGGATTTTTTGGAATTCTGAATCTGCAGCTTATTTCAGAGGCTGCATTTTGGGCCACACTTACATACATTAAGGGAGCCTTTAAAGCTTAAATGAAATGTGCTGTATTTTCCACCAAGGCAATGCAGGATGCCAAAATTTTATTGGATAAACTGGCATGGGCGGAGTTACTCAGATCAAAACAAATACAGACATTCCAACGAGGAACGCAATTTATATTAATATTATGGCATTTATGCTTTAGAACTATCAAAAACAAACATATAGCACCATTAAATTAGATTGTTTTTACAGTATAAATGTTCATGTGATTAATTGCTTTCCAAAAACAAAACTACTCTCTGCCTAGTGCCTACTGACTCAATAAGATCATTATGGGATGTTTCAGAGAAACCACACTAAAACAAAATAGTAATGCTTTGCTGCATTACATCAAAAGACACAGATTATGATAGAAACTGCAGTTAACATCCACAACATTTTCATTCACTTGCATTCCCACTAACAAGTCAATGTAACTTGGTTTCTTTAACAGCACCCACTGTTCATGTACAAATATATATGCATCACATAAAAAGCTCCAACAAAAGTGACACTGAGCGTGACAAAATATGATGAAAGTTTCAATGAAAGGGGAGACCACAGTAGATGTAAAACAGTGTGTGCCTCGGATGAACTCTTCCGATCACATCAAGGAAAATGCCTTTTAATAAGTGAAGAACGGGCCAAAACCACATATTGTATTGTATTCATTACACATTTTTTTCTCCAAACAGTAAAATAGTTAGAATAAATAAGCTGTGTTTGCTTACTGCATTGTGGTCCCCAAGTGGTTTTTCAATAAGTGTCCCAAATATGGTGGGCTGCAAAAGAAAGTAAAAAATCAACCAGTTAAAAATCTCAAAAAAGTTGACGTGCAGGTCATGAGCAAAGTCTAGCATGAAGATTTCCTTTTAAAGTAAAGGAGGGTGTATAAACATCACATGATAGTGGTCATGATTACAGAGAGTTCACAGATCAAAGAAAAAAAAATCAAACCAGATTAGAAGCTGATACAAAAGCACTGGACAAAAAGTAGCAGCAAGCTCATTGACCATTCTGCACTCAGACTTTGTTACATACTATAGCATTGGGAAAGATCTTAAGCTAGAACCTGATGAAAATTCACAGTGAAGGTTAAATCAAGGCCAGTGGTCCACTCAAAATGAAAACACAAATTGTTTGTAATGCAAAAAAAGAAAGAAAAAAAATCACGCAGAGGAAAAATTTTAAGAATACTACACACTGTCTACACTGGACACAAGAATTATGAATTAACACAGTGTAATTAGATCTTAAAGGATGAGTGATAATCTTAAAATTGTGCTTCTGTTTGGAGAATTAATCTTAAATGTAAGAGATGTAATTCTGATTGATCAACCATTGTAAAACTGTCCACAACTGGTAATTTAGTCACTGTACTTTTTTTAAACCACCATACTTTTTATTATTTAAACTACTCAAAGTATTCAGATAACACTCCAGATCCCAGATATTATTAATCACCAAATGGAGTGGCCACAAGCTCCTCTAGAGGGCACTTTATCCTGCACCATTGCTACTCACAAACTCCATTTCCCACAATACATTTTAATGATTACAGCTCAACGCTTGACTGAAGGCGTGTCTGAAGTTGGGGCTTATGCGATCGTCATAGCAGCATCAGCCAATGAAATTCAGTCAGCAATAGGCCACTGTCTAGCTGGTGTATTTGCATACAGCGATCTGATTGGCTGATGCTTCCGTCGATGCTTGAAAATTTGAGCTAGTCCCAACTTCTGCAGTGAGCATAGATATATACACTAGATATCGCATAGGGACCCTGAGCATGCGTCAATAGCGCCGCCACATTGGTACAGTGCTCCCAAGACAAATGTCATTCAACCGCACTAGTCAATACAGTGTTATTACGTGAATATGTGGGACTTTAGCGCTGTCTACGGGTGTAGTAACAAGCAAAAAAAGAAAACAAAGCACAAAGGCAGAACATTTCATAGGTAATATTAAGTTTTTTTCTGTTTTTGTATGTTCTGAACTTTTGTGCTAATCAGGTAACGTTATTGATGATAATAGTCACTTACTGCATTCACCATACGGCAAAGCAGCTCCATCTCCATCTCACTAAACACTCGGCTTATGCTAGTTTTGTTGAATAAAATCAGCAAACAATGCAAAAGAAATATGACAACCAGATGCTGCACTGCCAGAAACTTGTATTATTGTTGGCTAACGTTAGTGAAAGAGTCGTTCGGGGGATTCATTCACAAACGAATCGCTCCCTCCATCAGTATGAGAAGTGAAAGCAGGAGAGGAGCTGTGTTTCACGACATGATTAGATCAAATTTAAAAGGGAGGGTGAATAGTACATTTCTGTACACACAAACTAAGCTTTTTGTCAGGAATGCCCGTGCGGTCACTGATCCATCAATGTAGAAAAGTGATGTAAAATTATAATTTTCGTAATTAGAAAAAAAAAAATCACATACAAAACTCCCGATCATAGATATATGTGTATATGTGTATATCTCTGGCTTTGGATGGCCACAGTCCTCCACTGTACCTTGGTCCCGCATTCATTTCAAAGGAGCGCTACCCTGTAGCAAGATGGCGGCGCTATTGACGCATTCCGTCCAATAGACAACAATAGGTCAGGCGACATCTAATGTATATATCTATGTGCAGTGAGCAATGCCTCTAAAGCAGTGCCGACAGATCCACAATGCAGTTCGGCAATGCCTGACGTCACCCATTCAAAGTGAATGGGAAGCTTTGACGCCCCGTGTGAATGTGGATACTAAAGCTACAAGCCACTTAAAGTATTGTTACTGAAAAGAACTACAGTATATGACAATTAAAAGTCTTACTGTTCTGTCCTGGCCAACGTTGCCTTGGCATCTTTTTATGCTTTTTTAGCAATGCATTTTTAAACATTATTGGTACTGAGATCTACTCACTTTAACATTTTCTGGGCTCGCGGCTTGTTTATATCCAGTTTTCTTTCAATATTTTCATGATATTGCAGATAAAAGACTGTTGATCATTGCATCACTTTTTGCAGCAACTGAGCCCTACATAATAATTTATTAATTACTTAAGTGTTTTTAATTCAAAGCCAACTTTGACATCCACACATCTAGCATCTGATGAATTTTAAGAGAGAGGTAAGAAAGGTAAGAGAGATGCTGACGATTCAATATGTGAATGCTATGTTTTATGAGCTTTATTAAGCCATTTCACAATTAAACAATCATTACGACCCACATCAACCTTTGAGAGAACAATTAATAAATTTAACTGATCTCAGTGTTACACATCTCACACAGCATAACATGTTCCTGAGGCTATTGTTGTGAATACAGGACGCATTGTGTCTAACAACCTCTGGGATGTTTAATGACTTTGGGCTGTGGAATGATGACTATAATAAAACAGCAGAATTCATTACTCGTGTGAGCAGGTGTCTATGTCAAGATAAATGGAAATTGTGTGACTGTAATATAGACATTGAAAAAAAGAAGCTCATTTGGCTAATTAAAGTCTAGACCTTAAAATTACAAATGAGACAACATGGCAGAAAGCATCTCATTCTGTAAGTCCATCGGTCAGTGATCTAAAGCAATTAACAAAACAACAGTGCTAAGTTACAGCACCCGGTGCCTCCGGCAATGAGAAAATGACAGAATAGGCAGCAAAGCAAGTCATGCGTGTAATTAAAAACATTGCACTAATACAACTGCTGGAATCATAATGGGCCACACTAACAGACCATACTCCCCTGCAAACCATTTGAGCTGCAAGTTCTGTCTTGCACTTGTTTTAGTGGGCTGGGTCAAAAAGGTAAGTCATGCTGACTTAATCGGAAGGATGTTTGTATTTTGGCACAGCTGGTAAGAATGTGATCTCATGTATTATCATGTGTGAGGGCTGAATCATTTGTGAACTATTAATTACATTCTGTAGCCAGTTTTATGTTGTTTATCAAATTTAAACAGAATTAAAAGTAGTTTTAAAAAGTTAAAAAGGTATTTTATTCTTAATTTGTTTAATTAATTGATTTTCAGTTTTAAAATCTTTGATAATTTCACAATATATAATGCATTGTGTATTTATTTTCACAGTAACATGTACAACAATGCAACTACAGGTGTGCTTTTTTGTTTTAAAATATAAATAAAATGACAGCAAAGGTCATTTTACAAAAAAGAATTTGTAAAGATTAAAATAAAAAAATGGTACGATATATATATATATATATATATATATATATATATATATATATATATATATATATATATATATATATATATATATATATATCATCATTAAAAAATATTTACTAATTAACCTTAATATAGATAAATTAATGCAATAATGAACTGTAATACAGGAGTTCATTGTTAGCTCAGGATCATCAAACGATGATGAACTGATATGATTTAATGGATTAGTAAAGGTTGAAATTAACATTACCTGAAATAACCTAATTTTAATTGTAAATTACTGAAACATTGTTTTGAACTGTAGCCAGGATAAGTTATTTATTAACGAATGTGTTACAAAATTGAGTCTTATTCTAAAGTGTTAATGGAAGCTTTTAGGAGCTCCAAATCCCAAACGGCCCTTAAAAAAAACTTGATTTTAACACATTGTGTTTGCTTCAACAACTGCCAAGCATGTCCGGGGCTTCCCTAAGGCAAGATTCAAGTTTTCCGGTAATTTTCATAATCTTCAACCATGCACAGAACACAGTCTGAAAGGCAGAATGGGAACCCGGCGTCCTTGTGTGCCAGGAACCAGACATTTCACACTCAGTTTGCTGACTGGAACATCAGTCTCTGGCACCTAAAGAGGAAACGGTGCCTACTGAGATCTCTGCTTTAATGGAAACACTGGGGGAATCCATGCTGCTGCCACAGGTGCACCAGAGGCCTCTAATAACACAGATGAGTGGCTCTTCTGTCACACTGACGTCTGGCTGAAAAACAGATGCTCACCTAGATGTTATAGCAGGAAATTGCATTCCCTATAATTCAGAAATCAACTATTAACTCTGCAAATATAGTGACAAACTAGACACGAGTAATGAAATCACCCCCCACCACAGCCACTTAAACTGTCAAAACATCAATTCAGCTCAACAGGTTGATGATGAGTTTTGTCAGGTTTGTATAAACACAGCATGAAACAGCTGTTTGCACCTTAAGTGTGGTTTAAATTAATGGGTTAATAATTGTTAATAACATAAACCTTAAGCAAACTTGATTGGCTGAAGTGGAAAATATGAAATGAATTGATTGAATGGAATTAACAGTAAAATTGAAGTGAAATGACAAAGAAAGATCTCTCAGCTGAATGGGTCTCTAGTTTTGTTTTTTGTTTTTTTTTCAGATTTAGACTTCAGACAGACATGTGTGAATCAATGCTCGGCTTTGACTTATAAATCCCTGTCTGAGAGCAGGCAGCTGAAGGATGTCTGACAGTTTGAAAGCAGTCAATTAGTCATCCTGATGTGTTGGTCTCTTCCGGATTTCATACCTCAATTCAATGCAATAGTAATCTTATAAACATGCAGTTTTTTCAGACTTCAAATGAACTGTTTTATTTCTAAAGGTCGGCAACTTATTTTTTTGTGTTTTTTTTAAATGATTTTGGAGCTCAGCAGCTACTTACCAGTGTTCCACTCACCTACACGACCAAGAGCAGCCTTACCACAGACCCTTTTTCTGAAATTTGGTGCACGTGTTTGTAGTATTTAAACAATAAATATTTTTTCACTTTGGGCATATCTATAGGCATTTGGTCTTACTCATAAATTATCTTTTTA